GGAACAAGCAGCAGGTGACCTTCGCCTCTCACTGTACATTGGCACCGGACCTAAAGCCAATCGAGTGGACCGCGCCTCGTTCGTCATTCCAGACTCCTCTGTAAGCAAAGCTCGCAGAATCCGTGGTAAGTCCCCAGTTCCCGAGACTGCACTCCTTGGTATGGCCACCTCCGCTTCGTCAATGCCTCTGTGTCCGGATGAACAGGAGACTCTCGTGCCAGAAAACGAGCCGGACGAAGAGGCCGCCTTTGCCATGCATTGTCAATGAGCTGAGCAGAGGAGTAGGCAGCACGGTCGTGGTAGTATAAACCCAATGGCTGCCGTTCCAAGGCGAGTGGAGAAACGTAATGTCGCTGCCGCTGCAAGCTCCTGCCCTCTTAACAACTTGCTGCTGCTGTGGCATGTCTGGACTGTTAGCAACTGTTAGCAGGCCTCTGGCCTCGACTCTGGTCCTGCTACTCCCATCGAATGTGATCAGCATTTTGCTCAGGGCCTTCTTACTCTGCTTGTGTACAGCACGGCTTAGGTGCTTGCCATGGCCATGGGAAAGCAGATCACCAAGAAGAAGCCATCTTACCTCTTTCCGTTCGCGAAGAAGGGCAAAACCCGCTTTCTCTTGAAGGACAACTTGACGAAAACGCCGACAAGTAACAAGGTCCAATCGGAAAAATGGCGCAAGACGCCTTACGTCAAGAACCCCATCAAGATCCGTGTTGACCGCTTGAAATGGAAGAGGAACTTGAAAGACTTCATCGGTGTCGACGAGGATGCGACGGTCAAGCTCCTCACCGAGGATGGCCTGCTGCCGGACTGGACTCGCGTGAAGTGTCCTTTCTGCAACCTGGGGGCTGTCTCAGGCCTTCAGTCCAGGGGACGGTTGACTCCACGATACCGCTGCAGACGCAAAGCCTGCCAGAAGTTCATCCTTCCGCAACGCCGCAAAATCTGCATCCCATCTTCACATCAAACATGGGGTCGGAAGGACACCCGCTAGCCATACAAGCCAGTGCCCTTCTTCTTCGACTTGCAGGCATTCCGCTCAGCTCCATCCACATCGTCTTGGGCATCAACCACAAGGCACTCGAGAGCATGGAGAAGAAGCTAGCCACTACAAGGAAGTGCTTCGTAGATGCAGAGCAAGCCCGCATGGTGCTCGGGAACGGCAAGAGCACGAAGTGGACGGAGGTAGAAGCCGATGAGGCCGTCTTCGACAAGTGCTTGATCGCGGCAGAGGATGCTCACAACCCCAACAAAACCATGAAGTGGGAGCAGTGGTTGGGCATGGTGCCTCGCGGGAAGCCTTCCTCTCTGGTCTTGTTCCGATTGCGTTCGTTGACCACGCACAAGAGAGCCCCAGGCCCAGGAGCCGTGCGCAAGGAGGATTGGGTCAAGATCGCCAGCAA